GAAATGGTCCATAATATGCTGTATGCCAGCTTCTGTCTCAGCTAAGAAATCAGTGTCATCTGCGTAAAGTAGCTCTCTAATCAAAGCTTGGAAAGTTTTTGACTTGGCATTGAACCTTCTCTGGTCGAAAACCTCTCCAATGGTCTTGAAGCACAATTTGCTGCCTTCGCCACAATCTTGGAAATCATGCGCAAGTAGGGTAGCAAAAAAGAGAGAAAAGCCTGGGAGCAGGGATATTACGATTGTCAATAGAGTTTTCCCCTGAGAGTTGCCCATTGGAAGTAATCCAAGCTCTCATATTCCTGTGTAGCTGCTTGACCAGTTCCACAAACCCTGGTGAACATCTTACCTTTCTGAGGACTATCCAGAGAGCATAGAAATATTATTGACTGGAATCTCAACGTTTTGCTCGTTTAAGCAAAATTTTGTTACATTTTGACACTTTTGTAAACAAAAGTTAATTCTCAATTTTAAAAACTTCCAAAAATATTATATATATTTCTAACACGTTATTTAAGGAAATTTTACAAATTTAATGTTAAATTAATCAAATATTACTTATAGCATAAAACATAGTATAAAAATATTTATTATTGACAGGGTTTTGGGTTTTTTAATCTTGATTGATTTATTGACAGCCTGACGTGTTGAAAAGCTATGTATGTTTGACTAATAAATTGACATAAATTTACGAAATCTAAGTGAACGCTCTGTTTTGGGTTTTTAACTATCCAGTAATTTTTAAAGCTTTCGTCAAATCGACAAATACCTGATAGAGGGGAATGTTCTTCTCAATACATTTTGACACTTTTGTAAACAAAAGTTAATTCTCAGTTTTAAAAAACTTCCAAAAATATTATATATATTTCTAACATATTATTTAAGGAAATTTTACAAATTTAATGTTAAATTAATCAAATATTACTTATAGCATAAAACATTGTATAAAAAAATTTATTATCGACAGGGTTTTGGGTTTTTAATCTTGATTGATTTATTGACAGCCTGACGTGTTGAAAAGCTATGTATGTTTGACTAATAAATTGACATAAGTTTACGAAATCTAAGTGAACGCTCTGTTTTGGGTTTTTAACTATCCAGTAATTTTTAAAGCTTTCGCCAAATCGACAAATACCTGATAGAAGGGAAGGTTCTTCTCAATACATTTCTCTTGAATCTGTCGTGCAGAGAAGATCATGTCAGTTGTCTCTCTTCCACCCTTAAAACCACGACTGTGATTCTGGGATACCTACAGGGCAGATATCTTCTTTGAGCCTATTAAGTAATTTTCTCGCGAGAACCTTCCCAACAGTCTCCAAATGTGATACCGCGATAGTTACTAGATATTGATTTTTCACCTTTCCCTTTTTATAGGGAGAGCAGGAAAACCGTCAAGTCAGTCTTGTGGCACCGTGGTCCCGTTCCCACAATCGATAATCAAATTTGTTATCATGTTCTGACCTCCAAGCTTCAGTAATTCGACCGGAATGCCATCTAGATCAGGTTCTTCACCAGAGTTAATTTGTTTGATTGCCTGCCTGACTACGTAAAGAGTAGTTTAACGATCCATATGGTGTAGTGTTATACTGTGGCAGGCTCTCTACAAGGCTGTCATCGACAGAAGAAGGATTATCGAATAGATCTGTGAAATGCTCTTCGCATTGTTGAAGTATTTCTTCTGATCCTTTGATGGTATTAGCATTGTCTTTTGACTTCAGATGGGTAATTGAGAATGTTGGTGGACCGAGGACTTGATGTATCAATGAATAGAACAATTTGGAGTCTTTAGTGTTGAAGGCTTGTTGAATATCAAACACCACGTTCCTCCACCAATTATTTTTCATCCTGCGTACTTCACGTTGTAGGGCTGACTATACACACATATATATATATACATGTACACACACACACACACACACACATATATATGTATGTATGTATATACACACATATTATATATATATATATATATATATATATATATATATATATATATATATATATACACACATATATTGAGCATTTTCCAATAAGTAACATTTATATATAATATATAAATAATATATATAAAAATTGCATATCTATATTTATATATATATATTTTATATATATTTTTTATTTATATATATATTTTATATATTATAAATTAATTGATTTAAAATATGTTTTTTTTCGCTACACAGTCCTAACCATGTTTCAAAAATTTATAATATTAATGCTCTGTAAATTTACATTGGGCACTATTTTGTAAAAATAAAAATATCTATAAGAACACCAGATTATATATCTTACTGTTCTTTTTTTTTATTTATATACATATATTTTATATATATATATTTATTTCTATACATATTTTATATATATTTTATTTATATATATATATATATATATATATATATATATATATATTTTATATATATGCATGGAACATATTTATTAATAAAACCAACACTATAAGCTAAACTGAGCTGAAACTTAAAATAGCATAAAGTCACATGACAAAAGTAGAAAAAAAAAAACTAATCAAGAAATAAAAAAAAAAATAAAATAAAATAAATCGAGCCTCTATTCCAATAACCACGACTTCTTATGCCTGTACCTATTCAAGATTTCAGATCTTTGGTTTAGTAAATTTTGTGGTTTATTAAAAGTAGCTATTGTTAACTTTTCCTCCACACATAATAAATAATATTTGTTACCTAATTTATACACGTGACATTTTTTGTTATTATTGCCCATTTTAAAATGAGGTCAGTTCTATCTCCCTGTTTAATCTTACTTATTATAAAATGCAGATTGTCTGTGTGTGTGTGTGTGTGTGTGTGTGTGTCTGTACGTTTATATATTGGATCAGATTTCCTACATTTTTCAACTGATTTCAACAAAACTTCACAGGACTATGTAAAAATTACCTTGTAGTGGTTCTGACAATGCCAAAAATGGGAAAAACACAATTGTTTTTGCACGAAATCAATTTGAAAACACGATTAAGAGGCATCACGAGAATGAAAGGGGGACAACTCATATCAAGTTATACTTATTAATATCGAGTTATCGACTTATACTTATAAAACCTAGGTTGGTTGTGTGTGTGTGTGTTCGTTTATCTATGGGATCGGATTTCCTACATTTTTCAACCGATTTCAACAAAACTTCACTTTTTTTTGGCAGGTAGTGTTTCTTATTGTCTTGCACACTTTTTTTTCTTTATTTTTACATTCAAAAATGCTTTAAAAATTCCATTTATAAGACAATTGTTTATAATAAAATTCTATTCAATCGGTAGACTCATAACGATTGAAAACAATGTTTTTGTTTCAGTTTGGGTTTGACCAATTCGTAAAAAAAAAAAAAAAAAACTAATTAAGACATGCGTGTCCGTCAACCTTAAACAATAATCTTTGTCAATTTTTCTTTTTCAGTCTTTATGATGGCGGATACTTGATCTATCTCTTACTGTTATATCCCCGGGCAACGCCGGGCTCTACTGCTAGTATTCCATATATATGTAGACTAGCTAGTGCTGTTTTTATAATTTTCATGTTTAAAGTTACTTATATGGTTATAGTAGCGTTTTGTTTGGGTGGGGGATGTTTTTTTTTTTTTTTTTTTTTTTGGTTTTATCAATTAAATTGTTCCATGTCATGCCCTTTTTAGCCAGCTTACCCTGAAGATCTGTTCAGGTGAAACCTCGGTAGGTAGTCGCTGGCTCTTTAGCATTATTTTATTTATTTTTGCTCTACTTAGTGTATTTTCCCCCCAATTTTTTATTTTTTTTTTGGACTGGAAATTTAAGGCACTGGACGATATTTTTCGCCCTGTTCCGATGTTTTCGAGTTCTTTGATGTTAAATGGATGTCAGTTATCAGTTATCTCCTGTTAATTTCCCTCTGAAAGTTCTCCACCGCCTTAACCGCGTATTGAACTCACACGCTTTGGGTCCTGTCACTGGATCTAACTAACACCTTTATCCACTGTGGAACTAGAACGGTCTACCCCAGTGAGCAAAATAAAGGGTTCAGTTCGACATCTCAACTACCTGAAGAAGGCTGAACGTACAATGGCCGAAACGTTGTAATAAATATGGCGACTAAGATGAGGTCAATAGTCCGAATAATGTACATAATACCTCATCTCAGAAATATAGACAGACAATATATATTTGATTATATTATAAAATTAGAAATTAAAATTTTGAATTTATATATATATATATATATATATATATATATATATATATATATTATATATATATATATATATATATATATATATATATATATATATATATATATATATATATATATATATATATATATATATATATATATATATATATATATATATATATATATATATATATATATATATATATATATATATATATATATATATATATATATATATATATATATATATATATATATATATATATATATATATATATATATATATATATATATATATATATATATATATATATATATATATATATATATATATACATATATATATATATATATATATATATATATATAAAAAAGAAAAAGAACAGTAAAGATATATAATCCAGTGTTCTTAGAGATATTTTTATTTTTACAAAATAGTGCTCAATGTAAATTTACACAGCATTACTATTATAAATTAATTGATTTAATATATTTTAAAAGTTACTCAAAATTCGCTTGAGGATGAAATGGAACTAATGTCTTTAATTTAATTACAAAATTAAATTCGGGTCTTTTAGCTTCCATTTTTGAAACATGGTTAGAACTGTGTAGCAGAAAAAAAACATATTTTAAATCAATTAATTTATAATATATATATATATATATATATATATATACACACACACACACATATCCTGTCTTCATTTACAATACCTCCCCTTCTTGTCATGGTGTCCATTTTTTTCATTTCCTGGATTGACTTCTGAAAAGAGATTGATGAAAACTGGTCAGCTGTTCTTTCTTTCTTTCTTTTTTATTTGCCGTTCATAGTAATAATACCTTTTCTTTTACCCTTTTTTCTTTTCTTTTTTTTTCTTCTTTTTTTTCTTCATTTTTTCTCCTATTTTTTCTTCTTTTTTTTCTCCTTTTTTCTTCTTTTTTTCTTCTTTTTTTCTTCATTTTTACGTCATTTTTTTCTTCTTTTTTTCATTTTTTTTCTCTAACTTCCATGAAATATCTGTTTTAATCGAAATAATAACATTTTGTACCCTGAGGAAATCTATTTTTTTTTTTTTTTTAAATAAAATTTCTGCATTCCTTCAAATTGAAAAAAAAAAAGAAAATTGTATTTTTGACTACGGACATTGTAAAAAAAAGATATTTTGAAACAAATGATTTTTGACGCATGCATGATTTAAATTTGAATTGGGTCTTCACTTTTTGGGGAATAGTTTTAACTTACACTCAAATTTGTAAAAATATTGTTGCATATATCCGACGATGATATATTATTGGCTCAGACATTCAATGCCCTCAGCAAAGTTTCTTAACCGTTGGTTAGTAACGCATTACGTATGTACATATTTTTCAGACTTGAATTTGGGGAACTAAGCCATGAATTTAAAACAAAACAAAACAAAAAAAAAAAAAACGAACATAACAAATTGTATTTAAATCTTGATCTCTTTAAATTTTGTATTTTTTTATGCGTCATTTTTAATTAAAAATTTTTGAATATTTCTTTTGTCAAAATTACATGTTAAATGTGTTGTTTTTTGTTTTTTTTTATTTATTTATTTTTAATCTACCCCCAAGCAAGGCGTGAAGCCACTAAGATTCAACAGGCTACTGGGAGTAAAAGAGAATTAAAAAAAAAAAAAACTACAGAAGGAACTGGAAATCTAATCCTAAGCAGGAAATGAGCGCTACACCGCTATTCCCATTAAAAAAAAACAAAAAAAAAAAATGGGGAGGAGTGTGAACTGGGATGATAGATGCAGTGTTCTTGTTTTTAAAATGCTATCCTTATCTTTGTTATTTTTAGCATCTTTTTGCTTTGACATTTTTTTTAACAGCATATCACAGTGTTCTTGTTTTCAAACAGCTATCCTTATCTTTGTTATTTTTAGCATCTTCTTGCTTTGACTTGTTTTTTCTTTAACAGCATATCACAGTGTTCTTGTTTTTAAGCAGCTATCCCTATCTTTGTTATTTTTAGCATCTTCTTGCTTTGACTTTTTTTTTAACAGCATATCACAGTGTTCTTGTTTTTAAACAACTATCCTTATCTTTGTTATTTTTAGCATCTTCTTGCTTTGACTTTTTTCTAGTTTTTTTTTGTTTGTTTAACAGCATATCAACTGCTTATGTGTTATTTAATGTGAAACTTTAATTTTCTTGGGTGCTTTGAAGTAATAAAAATACGATATGTTGTTCTGCTGTCACAATCGAGTGCATGGTAGATGATACTCGGCTTTTGTGCATCTATATATGTTTGTGTGAACGTAATTACTAGAGGCAGCATGTGTTTTATGCTATAGTTTTGTTGCACTTATATTTTTGAATACAGTTTAATTCATTTGTCGGATATTATATGGCTTAATATCATGAAACAGTCTAGTTGATTGGTCGATTTTGTTTAGTGACATACCGAACTCCATGGGTTATTTCATGTCAAAATCTAAATAATTCGAGCACAATGGTATGCCTTTAACTACAGATAAATATTATAAAAAATCATATTGCTTTAAAAATGTATTGTTGCTAATTTTACTATAAAAATGTATTTTGTTTGTGGGTGCACTAATTTTTTTTTTTTTTTTTTTAAAGCAATTCATCCCAAACAAGGCGGGAGTGCCACTAGCATGCAAGGGGTTACAGAAGACTGAGAATAAGAGTAAAGAGTTGTATTTGGGGAAAGGAAACAGAGAATGACGGGGAACACGATCAAGGTATTGATGTCGATTGACATTACACTTGAATATTGGAAGATTATAGTTATTGGCAAAGCAAGCAATAGGATGTGGGAGAGAAGCTGTTTGAGTAGAATATACGGTTACATTTAACCATTCTGACAGTGAAATGGTGAGACCGAGATGCCAGCCTGATAGCTAGCTTAAATTCATGCAGTCTGGGAACCAGCGAAAGTAGCTCGTCAGAACAGTTGCCGTGAAAATACTTGAAGAAGAGACAGAGGGAAATTACAACGCATCTGTAAGAAAGCGACTGTAGACTAGTTGCCAGGTTAGGACCTATCACATTGCATATTTGTCTCCGGATTTTGTCGAGGACCTCAAGACATACATCAGGAGCACCAGACCATATATGACAGCAATATACCATGCAAGAACGGATGGTTGATTTATCCCAAAGCTTGGACCCTAACAGTTGCTACCACTCCAGGTCTTAATTGATGTTGTTCCCAGGACCACTCTGACCATTGTTCATTCCTGAACAAAATTGCTTTGAGAACGCTTACAGTTCAAGCTATTTCGGCATTTACTTTGTCTCTCGCAAGATGGCGGAAAGACCGTTCGATATAAAACTGATCCCCGAATTCAGTGGTGATACTAGTGGACAGTCTGTGGTTGAATGGATCGAAAAGGTGGAACTGGTCTGTGAATTATGCGAGATATCACTGGACTAAGTAACTCGCGTTCTGTGCTGGTTGATGGCATACCAAGACATATAAAGGACTTGCGTTGCTATGTAGGTACAGATACGTCAACAAGTGACACTAGCAGTGAGAGCTCAGAAAGTGAACAAATAATTACCATCGGAGGTAGGGCTAGCACCCCTTCAGATGGTGAAGACTCTGCGCATGAGGTTGTCAGACCAGAAGAATCCTCAGAAGAAGAATCTTCAGAACATTCTTCAGATGATGAAGACTCTGCGCATGAGGTTGTCAGATCAGCAGACACCTCAGAACATAAATACACAATCTCCTCCAACAGTCGCCCTGCTCCAGAGAAGCTTAAGAATAAAGAGGTTGCCCATGAGTGTCACTTTGTGACAGGGGGGGTGTAGTGAACGAGATAATCAGGGTACCCTGGGGAAAAATTCGGCATTTTTTTCTTACGGCGTTTGTTGGAGAGTGAGTTATTTTCCTGAACAAATTTGCTTTTGAGAACGCTTACAGTTCAGTGATAGGTCCTGATCTGGCATCTAGTCTACAGTACAGTCGCTTTCTCGCAGACATGCTGTGGCTTCCCTTTGTCTATTCTACAAGTATTTTTCACGGCAACTGTTCCGACAAGCGACTTTCGCTGGTTCCCAGACTGCATGAATTTAAGCGAGGTACAAGGCTGGCATCTCGGTCCCACCCTTTCAGTGTCAAAACGGTTAAATGTAACCGTTTCTTCTACTCAAACAGCTTCTTCTCTCGCACTTCTTGTCTGTGGAACTGCCTTCCCCTTACTTGTTCCCTTGATAACTATAATGTCCAAATACAGGTTGTCTATAAAGTTCGTGTGCACTTTAAAAAATTTATAACTTTATTTGTATTTGCGATAGGAATAATCTGTAAAAAATGTTATAAAGTTTAATGTACCTAGTTTTAAGTATAGCTAAAATAACTAACGTGATTTCAGACATTACTGTAAATCAGTTGGCAAATGTTTTCCGTGACCTGCAAAAATCGTATTACCTTTGTATTGCTAATGATGGAGGACATGGAAACTTAAATAAAATTTCAATAAAACCTAAATAATATAGATTTACTTTTTTCTAATCCTTTTTACAAATTATTTCTATCGCAACAAAATAAAGTTATAAATTTTTTAAATTGCACACGAACTTTATGGACACCCTGTATGTGTGTGTATATATATATATATATATATATATATATATATATATATATATTTGAATAAAAGACAGACCACGTTAAGATTCCATGTAATAAGCTATTTCACCATAACCCCTTTAATAGGGTTCTGGATCATCAGACTTTACTTCCAAAAAAGCTGAAATGAAAATGAAAAGAAATTCACACGTTTTTATATGGACCTCATCAAGTATATACGCAAAGTTGAGGAAGTGAGGTGGGAGAGAGATATGAGTATATGATATGATGACTTTTATAACAATTAGCTCATTTAAAGTAGAAATTAATCTGATTTGAAACAAATATAATTTACTTTAAGCTTAAAATATCGCAGAAAAGCATTTTTAACCCCACAATAACTGTTTGTCTTTTAAATTTGTTATAGTTACCGCACTTACTTTCGACCGTACGTACAGACAGAGACACGTTTATATACGTACAAAAAAAAATCAAAATTCTTTTAAAATTTTTTGTGTTTGATGATTTGTATTAAGCTTTTCTATTTATTATTATGAAATATAGTCTTCACTTAATAATAATAATAATATCATCTAAAAGGCTGAAATTAATACACAATTTTAAGATTTAAAACTTAATAAGTTTTTCTTATTAAAAAAAAATGAAAACAATTCTTGTAAAAATTCATTATTCATCAAAAACAGTTTTTCCTTCAGACAATAATGTTCTTAATATATATTATTTATAAAAGCAATTAAAAGCTTTTCTAATTAAATAATGACATATTTATATTCCTTTGATTTTATTTTACGATTCAGAGCAGATTTTCGGTAAATTGTGTTTCTGTTTAGCAAAAACAGATTGATGATTTAAATTCTCCAAGGACTCTTGCTTTCAACTAATACAAATATGAAGAGGGTGAAATTTTAATTTCTCAAAATTTCATAAAATTACGTTGCGGTAACAGATATTAAAAAAAATATTTTTAATATTGCAGATTCTTCTATGAATCTTATGAAGCAGCTCAAGGTACCAGACGATATGTGGCAACAATATTTTAAGCATGGACAAATTGTAGACTTATAGATAGATTCTGGAGAGAAAAATTGTCTCGCCCGTCACTTGGATTTGGTTTGGTTTGTTTTACTGCATATCAACATCTCAATGGGTTATTTAATGCCGAAAATTTTTTTATTGTTGGTAATATATTTTTTTCAAACATGTATAGCTAGTAATATTTTTCCTTAAAAAAAACTTCTATATCTGGTAATATTTTCTTGTCCAAAATGCATTCCTGGTAATAATGTATTTTGTCCTTGAGGACACATGACACAGTGGATAAAGGCGTTGGTTAGATCCAGTGACAGGACACAAAGAGTGTGAGTTCAATACCCGGTTAAGGCAGTGGCGAACTTTCAGAGGGAAATTAACAGGCGATAA